TGACATCATCGGGTGAAAGTTTTCCCACATTCCTTACACTCATAAGGTCTCTCTCCTGAGTGAATCCTAAGATGTACATAGAGCTGACTTGATAGAGAAAATGTCTTCCCACATTCTTTACAGGGATAAGGTTTCTCTCTGGTGTGAACTCTGATGTGTTGCGTGAGGTGATGTGATTCTGTGAAGGCCTTCCCACATTCCTTACATACATGAGGTTTCTCTCCTGTGTGAGTTCTTCTATGCTGAGCGAGGTGAGAAGACCTGCAGAAGGCTTTCCCACATTCCTGACATGGATACGGTTTGTCTCCAGAGTGCATTTTTCTATACCGAGTGAGGTATGAAGATTTGGTGAATGCTTTTCCACATTCCTGACATTCATAAGGTTTCTGTCCTGTATGATTTCCTTCATGTTCAGCTATAAAAGCCAGGTGGGAAATGGCGTTTCCATTTTCTTTACATTCATAAGGTTTCTCTCCTGTGTGTATTTTTCTGTGTGAAATGAGCTGACTTGAGTGTGAAAATGGTTTTCCACATTTCTGAGATGCATAAGGGCTCTGTCTTATGTGGAATCTAAGATGTTTAGTTAGGTCAGTTGATTGAGCAAAGATTTTCCCGCATTCATTATATGCGTACGTTTTCTCTGGGGTTTGAGTTCTTCCGTGTGTGGTGATCTGAAGTGACAGAGAAGAGGCCTTCTTACATTCTTTACCTTCACTGGGTTTCTCTGAGATATGTGTTCTTGGATGCCTAGTGATGGGTAAGAAAGAAAAAAGGAATAGATTTTATATGACATTCTGAAGGACAAGAATATAAGTGTCTGAACTTTCTGTTACATTCCCATTGATCTACCACATGTATCCAAAATTTTGAGAAACCACAGAAATCTATACTCCATCTAAACACATACAATAGGTGGTCATAGCAAGATGAGTCCTCCAAAGCATTAAGTCTGGATAATTTTTTTGCTGTAAGCTTTACGTCTGGATAATTTCTTTGCTATCAGAAAAGATTTCAAATTCTGCTGCAGGTTTCCCTGGGTGATGGTCTGCAATCCCTTCACCCAGCTCCTCTAACTCTGTGATGTCTGGTAAAAAGAGACCACACTCAGATGTAAGTAGGAGTGTTAATATTTGCTCATAATAAAACACAATGAAGCTGGAATGTGGGTTTTCCTTCAGGACTCTCAAATTTCACAATTGAGCAAAGTTACAACTACTGCAATAATCTGTATATATCAGAACACCTTCTGCTGTGTCTCCAGTGACTGTGTCCTTCAAGATTTTGGGTTCTGTCATTGGATTGAAACTCACCTCAAAGACTCCTCCTGGTTATTTTTGACATCTTTGTTGCCACACAATGTCGGCATCCGCTGTAACATGGAAGGCCATGGATGACTAGTCCTTAAGAATTTCAACTGTGTATATTCACGGGATAAAGAGTCTCTCTCAGTACTGTTTTGAATACCTGCCAAGAACCACATTTCAAAATATGAAACCCTAAAGAAAGGAAGTCACAGAGGACAGACTTCTGTGAACTAACAGAAACGTGGGCCCAGTTTTCATATTCAGCACGTTAAGAATGGAAAACCAACTATTCACTGGGAAAGAGTGCAGGGATAAAAGAAAGGAATCATGACACGATTTGGTTTCTATGAGCTGGGTAGATAAAAAGAGGACTCACAAAGCACACACAAAATATCTCACAGAACAACTACAACCTCACACGATAAATACACTCAAAATCTCACAGTATGCAGACATCTCCCAGGACATAGACATCCTACGGTGCACACCTATCATTACAGTGGGCTTGTACATCACACAGCACACACACCTCACATAGACATCACAAAGACATACACTAAAATTCACTTTTTCTTTAAGCCTTTTACAACTTACTACACATCTTTAATTTAGCCTTTACTAACTTTCATATTTGGGCACAACCAGACATTTTATTTTATGCATCTGACATACTTGGAACATGTTGTAAGGAGAGACAGGTCCTTGGAGAGGGACATCATGCTTGGTAAGGTGGTGGGACAGCACAGGAGGGGAAGACCCTCTAGGAGGTGGATTGATTCAGTGCCTGGGGTAATCGGGATGGGGGTGTCAGAGGCAGTGCGCTTGGCACAGGACAGAGCAGAGTTTAGGGCTGTTGTATATAGGGTCGCTATGAGTTGCAAACAACTCGACGGCACATAACAACAACAACAACAACCACCTAATTTTTTGTTTTATAATTTGCAGTTCTTTTATCTTTGTTAAAGGCCAGTATTAAACCCCTATCAGCTTATCAGTTAGCCAAGTTAATGGAAGGGCAAAGCATTGAACAGTGGTCTTCATTATAAATTGGGATCACCTAATCCTCTTCTACTGTGATAAAGTTTTGGTTTTTTGGAAGCTCACCATCCCTTGTTGTTTTTTCCTCCCCCCCTCCTAATCCCTTACCAGGGAGAGAGTTCACATTTAACATATATTCTTAGCCAGCTCTGATATTGTAGGAATTTGCAACCTGGCAGCCCATTGAGCTAGCACATCTCTTGCCCTTAAGGTAGCTGCAAGATTTGCAACAAAAGGCTCTCATTTTGCTGTCTGTCCTTTGGGTCCTTGACATTCCAACATGTAAGCACTTTGTTTTACTCCTGTCATAGACCCTATTCCTGTAAAAGTAACAGAGACATCTTTTACTTGCAACTCAGTACGCCAATGATGATTAGCATTAATAGAAACATCAGTGCAAGTATCAACTAATGCTTGAATTTCAGATCCTTCTAATATTACAATCATTTGAGGACGGGAATCAGTAATAATAGTATTCCAAAAGGTATTTGTCCCAGTACTCCCAAACCATCCTTGTCTTTTTATTGGAGCTACCCTTTGTTTTATATGAATCAGGAGCAATAATTGATCTACTCTCTGGCCTTTTCACAAGGTTGGATGTTGTCACGTAGACATCATTATAATTATTTCCCCATTATAATCCTGATCTATCACTCTAATATGTACAAATATTCCTTTTTACTTGTTAAACTAGTTCTTACAATAATCATTCTTTTTTATTAAAATTTTATTTCTGTCATTCAACAAAAACTTTGTTTGCACAAAAATTCTTGGGTCTAATCCTTGGGAAGCTTGAAATTTCCACAGAAAGACGTCCTTTGGTACAGAACTCCAGGTATAGTCGAGAGATAATGGCAAGTCTGTTATTTCTTAGGACGTATGGCCTGAAGTCAAGAGAGGTGGACCAGGAATGAACTCATCAACCGTTTAGAAGGTCAGAAGTCCAAATTCAGGGTGTTTTCTCTAGCAGAAGGTGTCTCTGTCAGTTCGATGCAAAGTCCTTGTTGCACTGAGCATCTGCCCCTTGGACCTTGCCATGTGTCTCTCTTACTCCATCTCTGCTTCCTCCTCGTGCTTTTTTGACCCCTGCCTTCTCGTCAGTCCAACTCTTAGGGTCCCTTAGCTGGTTCTGGGGCTGTCAATCCTAACGTGATCAGAGAGCCCATCTCCCTCCCGAACCTTAATTTCCAGTGAGCAGAGGCTGTCCCATGGAAATAAGAATCCCTAAAGATACTGTAAGAATGATTATTGTAAGGTTCGTAATAATGTAATAATCATTCTTACAGTATCTTTAGGGATTCTTATTTCCATGGGACAGCCTCTGCTCACTGGAAATTGAAGACAACTCTCTTTGTTTTAAAGCCTTTCATTTCTTTCTTGTTGGGGTCCACTGCTCTGCCCTGCGCCTGTTCTCAGAGGCGTCTCTCAGTTATAATGAACATGGCACTTAAGCTTAGGAAAAAAACGGCTGTTTCTTATCACCTTAGAAAGTCTAAATTTTTGGATTTTACAGGTATTTGACTTTTATGACACCTCTTTCTATAATTTTTGTTCTTTACATTTACCTCGAGAACAAAATTCCATTTTCTTTCTTACCTGTTTCTAAACTTTTCGATCACATTACCTATGTAGCTTCTAATTTATTTATTTATTCGTCTTCACTCTTTTACTTACTTTTTGGCCTTTTTTATCCTGTAAACTAAGAGTTTTCTTTTATGTAAGCTTCATTGTTATATTTTTTTACTTTTCTTATTTTACCGGAATTACCAGTTTACATGAGCTCAGAACTGTTATCACATTAAACCTAAGACAAAAAAATAAACAAGAAAACTTAAACAAAACACAATCAACAAAAATAGGCTTTTGCTTTCAGATTTAGCACTTTTTTCTTTTTCTAAACCATATTTTAAATTGTAAATAATTTCTCTGGAAGAGCACTGTTTGAGTTAATGCATCGCAATTAAGAGAAAATAATACTTCATGATTGAGTCTTCCTAAAGCTCTTTCTAAAGGTGACAAAGGCGGTTTCTTTTTTTTTTCTCTATAATTATATTTTATTAATTTTCATAAACATTTACAGAGATTTTGGGCTTCCACTCATTCATTGTTGCACTATTCTCTCTACCCTCCTCCCAGTTTGTTCTTGTCCAAATGCCACAGTGCTTGTCAAAGCCAGTTCTGATTAATCTTCTTTGTCAGTGTGTCCTTTGACAAAGGCGGTTTCTTGCCTTCAGCTTTCACCTTCTCTAATGTAATATATCTTAATTCATATTCATGCAAAGATTCAGCCATCTCTCTTTGCAAATTTTAATATGTGTACAATCCTCCATGGACATTGTTACTATTCTTATCAAAGCCAATACTGGCTAAAAAACATTAGGAATTTTATTTTTTTTAATGTGCTCTTCATCAATCTCTCCTAACATTACGCCAAGTTTTTAAATCCAATTGAGATCTACCAACTGCTGAAAATATTTTTTCTTTCCCTTTTATCCCAGAGCTCTTTTTAAAACAGCTCCTTTAAGAGAGAAATATATTGAACTTCAGAAAATGGCCTGTTTCCCCATGGCCCTTTTTTTACTTCTTCCTCAAAGTTTTTTAAAGCCATTTATTTCAGAGGTTGGGGAAAGTCCCTATGGAAATTTTTTCTAATTCTTCCCTTGACTCTGTCCTTCAAGGTGTGAGGGAATCAAACCTCATGACACTTTTTCTAATTCTGCCCTTGTGTTTGAAGGGGTGAGAGAATCAATCCTCGTGAAACTTTTTCTCTTTCTGCCCTTGACTTTGAAGGGGTGAGGAAATCCTCATGATTCTACCTGAAAAAAAGATTCCTGAAAGATTTCACTTACCTTTCAGTTTCCGAAAGGGAGGGAGGTGGGGGGGGGGGAGAGAGAGAGAGAGAGAGAGAGAGAGAGAGAGAAACACTACTGTTTTCAGACCCCTGTTCTGGGCACCAGATGTTGCAAACCAGATGGGGAAAGGAAGCAGGGATAATATGGGGAAATGAATTCTGAAAGAGAAGGCTGAGGTAAAGGTCCTCTCACAGCTTAGCACTGTGAAAAGGCCCCCTTCTTAGTCTCCCTATGTTTTGTGGGTTTTGGTTTTGTTTTGTAGTTTAAGCCAATGAGCCTAAAAAAGAGTTCAATGTCCAGAGACTGTATTTTCCTTATACTTAAGTGTTGTCAACATAACACTGGTTAAGCTTAATCCTCAAACTAAGGATTAAGGCTCCTGTGGGAGCCTGGGCAGAATTCTGTTTGCAGAGGGCATCCAGTGTTTCCTTTGTGGGTCTGGGCAGAATTAGCTGTTTGCAGAGGGGGCTTAGTCCTGTCTGGACTCTGATCTCAGCTGTAGCCTGGGGAATCTATAATCAGGTGAATGTGAAAGCATAGACCATTGTAGACATGAAAGCTAATGTATTCCCAGGAGATACAGTTGTTGAGATGGGAGAAGTTAATTCCAACAAAAGACATTTCTAATCAACATCGTTGAAGATTGCATAAATATGTCAAAGTCTAATGAGCCTAAACCCTACATTACCACTTTAATGAATGTATTTTTCTGGAAAAGTTATTTAATTAAGTAAAGCTATGTGTGTTTACACTTTAACAAACCCCAAAAAGAACGAGGCTGTTAGACAGTATTTGTCCTTTTGTGACTGAGATATTTCACTTAGCATCATTTCCACCAATGTCACCCAAGTTATGTTAATGTTTTACAAGTTGATTGTTTCTCACTGTTGCATAGTATCCCATTGTGTGACTACACCATAGTTTTTCCTATCCATTTGTTTGCTGAGTAAAAAGTTCTTCTGGAGTACAGAAGAGATGCTTGATCCCATGATAATTGCTTACATGCTACCGATTATTGCTAAAATCCTGATATATCATGGACTGCTAGAAGAACAAATAATAATAAACAAAACAGTTAAAAAATAATGATATAGCTCTCTCCTGATAGCCCTTAATATTTTTATAGGTACAAGTTCCTACTGATTTCTACAAAATGACCTTTTTATAATACTTAAGCAAATTCTCCTACTGTTCACAAGGTTTTCAAAGGCCTATTATTTCAAAAGAGGATGGGCGTTCCTGCTTCCTACTCTGTCTTCATCTGGGAGGGATACTAAAAGCTGTCCACTGTGGGTTAACTTACAGCATTTGATAAACCAGTGGCATAACTTTCAGTATCAGAGCAATCCAGAAGTTAACAGCAAGCTGCCAGACGAGTGTTGGTACCACTTAGAACAGATTCAACCATGTTCTTTCCAGTTACATAATACACATCTCAGTGAGAGCTGGACAATAAATAGGCATGATAGAAGAAACATTATAAAGTCCAAAATCAAGAACTGATATGTGAGAAAAATGGGAAACAATGCATTTCATTAAATTGTGGCCTTGGGAAAAAAATCTATGGGACACTGGCATTTCTATAATGGACTCTGATCGCTTGCGATGCACTTGGTAAGGGCTTTGACTTTCATTTGTAAATTTCATTTTCATTTGGCTTTTCATTGTAGGTCGTTCATTTGGCTTTTCATTGTAGGTCGTATCTCAGAAAACTGGCTTAAGGATCTCCTTCCTATTTGGAAACAGGAGCAAACAAATGTTTGTAAAACATATTGGTGAGAAAACAGGTCTATAACAGCAAGAAGAGTATTTCCAAACTGTGGGATTCACTTCTTTTCGGTTGAGTATGGAAGCAAATCCTCCTGTTCTTCATTCAAAGATGCCACTGGAAGGGTTAACTTCAGTCCTGTAAGCAGAGGTCACTCCCTTCCTAGACAACCTAGGGACTTAGGATATAGATTCTTGAGAAAACCACGACAGTTAAGTCTTCCTTCCATTAAGAGGACCAACAGCATTTCTTCAAGATTGTCCAAAGCTGATAGTACACAGCTGAGCTCCAGGTGAGGTCTTAGGATTCAGTATCTTGGGTTGAAAGGATTTTTTTTAAAAATTCTATGACTTTTTACACCTCTGGTTTTTCATAGAAAGCTTACAAATAACCTTTATTTTCCAGAAATCCACTTACAAGTAGTAGTAACCATTGAATGCTATCAACTAACCATTTACATTATTTAAACAAACTTACTGCATACTGATATTCTATAAACTGGGCCTGTTTAGATTCTTTTTGTGTGTACTAAGCTGACGTTAGTGAGAAAAGTTTTCCCAAATTCCTGACTGTGATAAGGTCTCTGTCTTGTGTGAATTTTTAAATATACAGTTAGAGAAGTAAAGAGAAGAAGAAAAAAGTTTCCCTCATTCCAAAGATTCATCAGATTTCTCAAGTGTGTGAATTCTAAGATGTTTAGTCAGAGTACTTGATTGGGAAAATGTTTTCCCACATTCCTTACATACATAAGGTCTCTCTCCTGTGTGAATTCTAAGATGTGAAATCAGATGACTTGAGTGTAAAAATGTTTTCCCACATTCCTTACACTCATAAGGTCTCTTTCCTGTGTGAATTCTTCCATGTGAAATCAGCTGACTTGAGCGCGAAAATGTTTTCCTGCATACCTGACATTCAAAAGGTTTCTCTCCCGTGTGAATTCTACGATGTTCAGTGAGGTGAGTTGACCGGAAAAAGGTTTTTCCACATTCTTTACATCCAAAAGGTCTCACGCCCGTGTGAATTCTTCCGTGTGAAATCAGATGACTTGAGTGCGAAAATGTTTTCCCACATTCCTTACATTCATAAGGTCTCTCTCCTGTGTGAATTCTTCTGTGTAAAATCAGATTACTTGAGTGTGAAAATGTTTTCCCACATTCCTTACATTTATAAGGTCTCTCTCCCGTGTGAATTCTAAGATGTTTAGTGAGGTGGGTTGATTGGACAAAAGTTTTCCCACATTCCTTACAGACATAAGGTCTCTCTCCTGTGTGAATTCTAGTGTGTCGAGTGAGGTCAGTTATTGTGTTAAATGTTTTACTACATTCCTTACATTCATAAGGTTTCTCTGCTGCCTGATTTCTTCCCAGTGTGGTGATCTGACTTGATTGCAAAACTGCTTTCCTACATTCTTTACATACATAAGGTCTCTCTCCTCTAGGAAGTCTCTTTTGTGAAGTGCAGTGACTTGATTGTGAAAATCTTTTCCCACATATCTTACATTCATAAGGTCTCAGTTCTGTGTGAAATCTTCTATGTTTCGTGAGGCTCCTTGAGTGCAAAAAGGTTTTACCACATTCTTTACATGTATAAGGTTTCTCAACGGGGTGAATTCTTCTACACTGACTGAGGTTACTTGATGGGGGGGCAAAGGTTGTTCCCAATTCTTTACATACATAATGTCTCGCTCTTGTGTGAATTTTTCCATGTGAAATCAGATGTTTTGAGTGTGAAAATCTTCTCCCACATTCCTTACATTCATAAGGTCTCTGTCCTGTGTGAATTCTTCTATGTGAAATCAGCTGACTTGAGCGTGAAAAATTTTCCCCACATTCCTGACATTCATAAGGTCTCTCTCCCGTGTGAATTCTAAGATGTTCAGCGAGGTGAGTTGATCGGAAAAAGGTTTTTCCACATTCTTTACATCTAAAAGGTCTCACTCCCGAGTGAATTTTTCCATGTGAAATCAGATGACTTGAGTGAGAAAATGTTTTCCCACATTCCTTACATTCATAAGGTCTTTCTCCTGTGTGAATTCTTCTGTGTAAAATCAGATTACTTGAGCGTGAAAATGTTTTCCCACATTCCTTACATTCATAGGGTCGCATGCCCATGTGAATTCTAAGATGTTCGGTGAGATGAGCTGACTGGATGAAGGTTTTCCCACATTCCTTACAGACATACGGTCTCTCTCCTGTGTGAATTCTAATATGTCGAGAGAGGTCAGTTATAGTGCTAAATGCTTTCCCACATTCCTTACATACATAAGGCCTCTCTCCTGTGTGAATTCTAGTATGTCGAGTGCGGTCAGTTATTGTGCTAAATGTTTTCCCACATTCCTTACATTCATAAGGTTTCTCTGCTGTGCGATTTCTTCCAAGTGTGGTGATCTGACTTGATTGCTTCCATGTTTCCCCACATTCTTTCCATTCCTTACTTACATAAGGTCTCTCTCCTTTATGAAGTCTCTTGTGAGAAGTGAAGTGACGTGATTGCAAAAATGTGTTCTCACAATCCTTCCATTCATAAGGGCTTAGTCCTGTGTCAAATTTTCTCTCTTTAGTGATGCTCTCTGAGTGCAACAAACTTCTCCCACATTTGTTACATTCATAAGGTTTCTCAACTGGGTGAAGTGTTCGGTGTTGACTGAGGTTAGAGGATTGGGTGAACGTTTTTCCAGATTCCTTACATTCATAAGGTCTCTCTCCGATATGAATTTTTCCACGTGCACTCAGCTCACTTGACTGTGAAACGGTTTTCCCACATTCCTTACATTCATGAGGTCTCTCTCCCATGTGAATTCTAAGATGTTCGGTGAGGTGAGTTGACTGGACAAAGGTTTTTCCACATTCTTTGCATTCATAAGGTTTCGCGGCTCTGTGCTGTCTTCCATGTGTGATGATCTGACATGATTGCAAAATTGCTTTCCCACGTTCTTGACTTCCACTGGATGTCTCCTCAAGATGTGTTCTTGTTGGGCTCCTTAAGTGAAAGAAAGAACAGAATTTATGCATATGTGGCATCGACAAAGCCTATCTGCACTTCTAATTCTCCTTCCTTCTCTGTTGTTTATGAGGAAGGGGAGGGAGAAGGAGCTTCTCATTTTTCAGACATTCACAAAGCGCATCTAAAACATGACATAGTCTATGAGAAAGTTGTACAGGAAAGAATTCATTCAGTTTGTGAGTTTTCTGGACATTCCAGTGTGTCTACCACATGTATCCAAGATGATGAGAAGACACAAAAATCCTTGCTCCTTATGTCACATCCAACAGTTAGTCTCAGAAGGGTGAGTCCTGGACACCTTTTCATCGAGATACTTTCTTTGTAAACGGAAAAGATTTTGAAATCTGATGCAGGTTACCCATTATGGTGATCTGCAATCCCTTCACGTAACTCTTCTACTCTGAGAGGTCTCATAAAAACAGACAATACTCTGGTGTAAAGAAGTGTGTTAACATCTGCTCATAATAAAACACCATGAAACTGTGTGGGTTTTCCCTTAGGGCTCTCAAATTTCACAAAGGCGCAAAATGATACCTCTTGTAATGACATTTGTTAATCAGAAGACATTCTGGTGTCTGTCTCCAAAGTTACTATCTCCTTTCTAAAGGTTTGGGGTGGTTTGTTTTTTTTTTTTCGTTTGACTAAAACTCACCTCAAATCCTTTTCTTGGTTTCTTTCTAAATAATCTTTGCTACTCAACGTTGATATCTGTTGTAACGCGGCAGGCCAGGGATGCAGTGTCCTTAAAAATGTCATCTGTGCATATTCACAGGATAAAACTTTCCCATCACTAATATTTTCAATACCTGCCAAAAAATAATGGTCAAAATATAAAAAACTAAAGAAAAGTCATAAAGGATAGACTTCTGTGTTTCTTGAAGTGGAAAAAAAAATTTTCAAACTTTGTGGATGTAAATGCAAGTATCTCAGTACGGGAAAGATCCTCGGGAAATCAACCGTTTCCCCAACACCGTCGCCCTTGAATGAGCATTAATGTTACTGCCTCGAAGATTTTTCCCGGGCTTCTAACGGAAGAAGCTGATGCATACACTTTTTTCAAAGTTAGTGAACTGATTCCATGGAATGTCAAAAGAACAGAATGTACTATTTGACACAGAATGTTACATAAATCAGTAATTTTCCAGATGAAATTGCTAAAAGTCTGATGTCCATCCATGTATACCTTGAACAGTATACTCAAATTTTCAGTCCAAATATAGGATGCTATCTTTACCTAGGAAGTCCAGGTTTTCCACAGTTTCGATCATCACCTCTCTGTAGAGATTCTTCTGAGCAACATTCAGCAAAGCCCACTCTTCCTGGCTGAAAAGGATAACCACGTCCTGCGGGAACAACGCTGCCTGAAACATTTAATGTATTCTGGATCACAAAGGTACCAATTCCCTTATAGTTTACAAGAACACAAAATGATCTAAGAGACTGAGAACAGTAAAAAAAAAACATATCTATAGTACAAATCATCTATTTTTCTACCAAATTCTAGTCAGGGAATCAGACTTCAGTCTTGTTCTTTAACTTATTACATTCACTTCCTCACCAATTAAATCTTCTCCACCAGATTTACTCCACCCTGAACTAAGCTGTGGGTACTGTTGGTATAAACATTTATACACAGACTGTCTTGTCTATGTTGTAATGGAAACAGTTCAAAGCAGAAACGTGTTTGAAATCAGAACATCGGTCTGTTGGGAAAGACGTGCCGTCTCTTCCCTTGTGATTTTCTGCCTCTGAAAACCAGGGCGGTGCACTCTGAGTTTGTCCTCACTCCACAGGACTGATTGTGACTCTGCCCAAACACAGAAAAAGCTGCTCAAGATTAAATGTGATTAAATAAATGGTCTGCCTCATCAAGACGGGCTGACTGATAAGCCCAGGGCCATGGCCAAGTGAGGAAATTCTTGGATCCACAATAGTCCACGTGCAACCCAGTAAGTTGCATTCACACACCAGACTAAGCAAAGGTGTATTTAGCTTTGGGAAAGCGCATATTCCACACCTATGAATACTACTATCTCACATCCAATAAAGCCAACCAGAAGCAAACTGTTCCGATGGGTTCCTGAGCAGCAGAAGGTTATGGCAGGATTAGAGATAGTGGTGTCTCTCTCTCTCTCTCTCTTCCCTGTTAGCCCCTTAAGATATGTATTCAAACTGGTATCTTAAGGAAAATCGTGGGTGTTGACAGCCAGAGGGTTAGACTTTGAGTCACTTGTGTAATTCCTTATGATCCTAACCACCATATCTCTGAAGGACGGTGCTCTTGAGCACCAACTAGGAAATGGTGACATCAAATCACTAAGACCCCTGAAACTGCTATCAAGATTGGGAAACTGTTAGAAGACCACGAAGCATGTGGTGTCCAAAGGGAAATGGTGACGAGAAGAATGAGGCAGGGAGGGAGCCAGGGAAAATCACCTCTCAGGGACAAAGATACCAGATGATCTAGACAGTTAATCGAAGTGGAAACTATAATTTCTATATTTCAAACACTCACCTTCTCTGCCCAAACACATGGGTGGATAAAAGCCAAAAGGAAATGACACACTTCACAACGTAAAACAGGATGTGAACATCGCAGACGAGTAGGATTCAGTTGGGTGCTCCTCAGGTTCTGACCTGGACATTCTGTTATTAAACCCATAGAATGAAGGTCACCTTTGCACATCACAGGTCATGGTGCCAGGTCTATGGGCCCATGAGCAGAGTGACTGGAGGCCTGTCCACCATCAAAGAGTGTGGATTAAGGACAGTTCCAGGTATTATGAAGAGTAAGAAACAAGGGTGTCTCCAAGGGCTGTTCAAGAAGGCTCTCTACATCATCTTACAACTTTGTCCTCACTGGAGAAGAGCAGTCCTACAGAACATCACTGGTCCCTCAAGAGTTTCTGTCCATGCACATCCGTGTCTAGTGCTACATGAATCACAACAGCAACCAGGTGGAAGCAAATGAACAATCTAGCCACCAAGGAATAGACAGAAAATGGCTGGTACAGTCACAGAATGGAATATTACACAGCACTGAAAAAGGATGGGGAATGGGGAGCTAAGGGGGAAGGAAATGTGCAACGATGACAAAAAGAACAATCTAAGACATTTTCCATGTTCAAAAAAAAATAAAAGAACCACATTAAAAAAAAAAATAAAAGAACATGGTGCACCTGAAAGAATAAACAAGTAAATTACAAAAACCCAACAAAATTTCTATCCTATGGCACCAATTTAAGGTTGAGAACCCTTTTATCCAGGACTCACCATTTCCTTGCTCTGCTTTCTGCAGTTCTAAGGTCTTCACTAAAACACCACAAAATCCCTTCAGGAAGGGCCTTCAAAGTGTGAGAAGAACACAAGGTATTGTGGAGGCAGATGAATGATGTTTGGTCCACACTCCCTTCACAGTGGCTGAAATCCTTCCTTGGGGTTGACAGAAAGGCACAATGGTGTCCCTCTTGGTCCTCAACTGCGTGCACCAGACTAGTTCCCCTGGTATCACACTGGAGACCTGAAAGAGACATCAAAGAGGAAAAAATGTTTCATGAGCTCGCTGAGCAAAGACTGGACATGTGCAGGTGGCCTCGGATTTCAGACAGGGCCCTGCGGTCTCCTGTTCATCATTCAGCACAAATGTAGAGGAAAAAATAAAATCCACATGCAAGAAGGTCAGTGAGTCGGCCCACTGCCACTTCTGCTTTCTGAGACTATGTGTGTCTTAGCAAAAAAAGCCTAAGGGTGAAAACAAAGACCTAAGTCCTCACTCTAAGGTTTAATTCTTATCCTCATGTTCGGGATTCTGTAGTTTCTTCAGGGAACTCTGGAGGCCTCGTGGGAAGAAGGTGCAATTCCAAAGACACAGGGTTCAAAGCCAGCAGATGCTGCGTGGGAGAAAGATGGGCAGTCTCATCTCCTGCGATCAAATGTCTCTGAAAACCATCAATGCATCAGCTATAGATTGGTTCTGGCTCAACGATGGACAACAATGATTTATTTCCCCTAAGTTCATTGTCATCTAGTAGAAAATTAAAATAAGTGATTGAAAAAGGGGGGGGATAAAAAAAACAAAAACAAAAGGACTTTTCAAAGTGTACATCTGTTTTAAAGGCACTCGATAAAAGGCAAATACAGAAACAGACCAGGGAGGCCTGAAGGTTGCAAAGCCTGGCCTGTCCAGATTGAGGCTAAAGCTAGTGCAAGACAAGTGAGGTTAGCACTGGGCCTTCAGACTCAGGCTGACCCAAAAGTTGGTATGAAATCTTTGAAATATCCACGTTCCTTTCATACTCTATGCCCCTTTCCTTATTTTCCCTCCTGGTTTACACTCTACAGAGGAACCATGTTTTTAAAGGACCAAAACACTAATACAACGTCACAAATGTTATGGAAATCCCTGAAAAGATGTCAACACCACTTCTATTCTCTCCCTCTCTCCCTGCGACAAATTCAATCTGACTCGATGTTCCATCAGGTTTGAAATACTGAAAACAGGCCAAGAAGGTAGTCACCTTTCGGATGTACTATAGCAGAGAAGTGGGTCTCTCCAGTAGGTACAGAAATGCCTCTTTCATTATCGTCCCTCTCAAGGGTCACTCAGAACAGACCCAGAGCTTGTTCCCAGGGACAGAAAATCACATGAGACAAGACTGTTTTTCTTCAATGGAGCAGCTGGTGGATTCAAACCACATACCTTGGCACTAGCAGCACAATTCCCTATCTCCACACTCCCAGAGCTCCTTCTTGGCTTGTCACAGAAATAGCAATATCAAAACGCCATGTTAACGCTGGTTCATTTCTAGAAGAATGGTTACTATCCAAAGTCAGAAAGCAAGGAACAGATGAATGAGAGACAAAGTGGAAATTTGGCTAGTTGGATGGGAACATGGTTCCAAAGCCTTTATGGAAAAGTGTCCTGTTGCTTCAAAATGTTAAACACAAAATTGTCTTCTGATCTGGAAACTTCCACGGAAGAGCTGAACAATAGTTGAGCCAGCACTCAACAGCCAAACCAAAATGTTGGCCACTGACATCTCTATCAAGTGAGCACGTTCGTAGAATATATACTGGAATTATAATGAGAAAAAGATTAGTATGATCCCTGGGCAAGGATGACATTCAAATGCATGAAATGTTCCTCTTTTTTTTTTTTATAACGTTTAGGAGGTTATCAAGTGCTATATTTTGCAGCAGACATGGAGAGCTGGGAATACTCATACACTGTTGATGGGATTGCAAAATGGTACAACCACGGTGGAAACTATTTCCTCCAAAAGTTGAAACTTTTCGTTTTCATTTCCTAAGAAAATGGAAAAGAGAAATTCCATAGGACCCATCTATTCCATTATTAGCAATATACCGCAAGCAAATTTAAAATGCGACCCAAAAGGAGATTATTACAGCAATATTCATAGCAGGATTAAGGATATGGAGACAGCCCCAATGCCCCACAGAACTAAATGGAGATAAAAAATAGTGGTGCATTCACACCCTGGAATACTATGCATCACTCAGAAGCAAGCATTTTTAAAACTTTGACCTCTGTGCAGAGACCTGGACAGGTGTGACTTCACCTGTGGGCAGGTGTGACTTCACCTGTGGGCAGGTGTGACTTCACCTGTGGGCAGGTCTCCCCCCTGGCTGGTAGCTGTCTCAGCAGCTGGAAAGTGTTGTTTCGGAAAAGAAACCTAAAGCAGAACTCCTTACAATAAAACAAAAATCCTACAAGCAGTGCATTTCCAGGTAGATGTTAAAATCCAAAATAAGCATCATCAATGAGATGAGAAAGAGATGTTATCAAAGTTCTGAATAAGTATAAAACAGCATGGGCATTTAAACATTTAGGTTTTGCAGGGTGTGGCTTTTGTGCCAGGTGTGACTTTACCTGTGGGCAGGTGTGACTTTACCTGTGGACAGGTGTGACTTCACCTGGGGGCGGGTCGCCCCTCCCGGGTCCCCCCTCCCCGCCTGGTGGGATCCTGCTGTCCCAGCAGCTGGGAAGGTCCTTGTTGTTTGCCACGTGGTGTGGACCGTGTGTCCCTGATGCAGACCCTGCTCCCCGGGGCACCCCTCTTGCTAACTGCT